TATATATATATATATATATATATATATATATATATATATATATATATATATATATATATATATATATATATATAGATCTAACAACAAAGAAAGGCTTTTGCAGCCTGCAACTATGCTCGATTTCCCCACATCTCTGTTTCTTTGGGAATGAACGTTTGTGGTAGTCACATGAGTTCCAGGCAACCAACCAAGATGGGGGACATCTTGCCAACTGAATCTGATCTCCTTGGGATGATCAAAGAGGTAACATATTCACTACACACTGATGAAAAAACTAATCTGAATAAGTTTTGCTGGGCTTTTTTTTTTTTTGAGCCTTTTTTTATTTGTTCTTGTTTTGCAGTATCTGAAGTTTGAAGAATTTGCAGAGACGGTTCAAACGTTTGACAAGGAGTGTAGAACCAAAGGCAAGCTTGTCTCAAAGCCCCGTGGAAATGCCCTCAGAGACTCGAAGGCACGTGTCACCCAGGTAAACACTAGAGATGTCCTGCTGCAACTTCTCCATTGCTGATATGATACCGATATTGACCCAATACAATAACAGCAAGAATCATACACACCTCTATTACTCATTTTGTGATGTGGAATATTAGAAAAGGCTTGATCAAAACAAGTCAGACTACACAAACAGAGAACTGAGAACAATAGTCAAGAGCATTGGGTTTGACAACAACATGTTTATTACATAAGCTTTAAACAGAAGATAATTTCTATCAGCATGCTAATATTGGAGATTTTAGGTGCAGGTCTTTTTATTCTAACATTTAATTGTTGGTTGATATGGGCTGATATCCTTAATTAAAACATCCAATGAAACATTTGTTATTTTTATTGTAGTTAAATCTACAGGTAATGACTGTTACTAAGCAGAAGGGGGTGAGACAGGAGGTAGTAAATGCTGAGGATGTGATATGTAAATAAATATGCACACAATTTTCCCCCCTGAGTTCTGGTTCATTTAGATTTCTGTATTTTTATTTTATTTATTTTTTTCATCTGACTGTTCCAGGAAGACCTCCTGAGCTCCTTTGATGATGGAGACCATAAAGTGTTCTTTGAACTATGGGGAGAAAATATTCCTTCTGATTTGAAAGACTCAGATGCTGAAACACAAAACCTTGAGTTCTACCTTCATGTCCACTTTACCATCTACCCCTTGAGGAAACACCCAAGTAGACAAGTAGGTATAAAGCATTTTCTAGGAACAGGTTGGATTTTTTAGGGGGGTTGGGGCAAAAATCACACAACCAGACTAAATTATATAATTGTATCATTGCATAATATTTTCAATGTCCACTAGGTGGAACCATATCTTTAAGTAAAGCTTACATCATACACTTCACAAATTAATTTCCTGCATCTTTTAATGTATGAGCAAAAGTATAATTATATCGCTGTAGGGCTATCCAGAGAATCCTAAGCTGTAGCTAAAGCTCCGACTTTTTAAAATTTATTTATCTGTTGTTTGTACCCAGAATATACATTTAATAACTGATATGATTGGCTTGGGTAAGATGCACGGTTTGACTTTAGTCAAGAAAAAAAAAACTAACAAAAATCTCTCTACAGGACCAAGCTGAATTTGAGGACAGGATTTCTCTCTTCAAGCAGTACCTTGAAACCCGGGGGGCTGCGCTGAGCCAGACTGCAGAGTTTCTGCCTTATTATGCTTTGCCTTTTGTTTCCAACCCCACCATTCACCCCTCCTTCAAAGATCTCTTTCAGGTACTTGATACGCAAAAAAAAAAAAACAACCTAAGAAAATCTCTTTTCAACTTATTAAAAAAAAGGAGAGAACCATTGTCAAATAATTTTGTCATCTTTTTAACGTATCACATCCATCTTAGGATTCCTGGATACCGCAGTTAAAGGATAAGTTGGAGAAGTTCCTATCGGTGACTCTAAAATCATCCAAGATTCCAAGGCTATTGACTTTATATGTATCCTTATCCTATCTTACACACCTTTTCTAATTCATGCATAGTGCAGACAGTATTCTTCCTGTATTACTGTCACAGACATAAGAATAGCAAGAGAAGCATGCATGCAAACCTTAATGGTATTGTGGTAAAATGTTTCCACCTTTTGTGACATACTTTTTAAACCATCTAAATAGCAAGGGTCCAAAAAGAAAAAAATGTGTTGCATCTATAGTTTTTTGAACTAACTAAAAAGCAGTGGATGACATTTTAAATTTTAAAAAATGTCTTAATTACAATACATCATTTTTCAAATAGTTCATAAATGTCCACAGATAACTCTTGTCAGGAAATAGTCTGCATAGCTACACGTTTCACAGCAAAGATGAAACGGTAACCCAGATACTGACTGGCTTGTAAAGTTTAAAAGACATCAGATGAAAGATTTAATGCAAGTTAAGAATGATATCCTTAAATTCAAATTGCTATTGCTAATTTACATGTTGCATTGCAGTTTAGCTATTTTATTTTGTGCATCATTGTGACTCACAAAAAGGTATTATGCAGGTAATAACTAATCACGCTGTATTAAACTGAACAAGAAAAGAAGTGGAAAATAATGTCCACTCTGAATGACCATAGAAAACCTTGATCTATATAATGTAGACATGTTAAATTAAATGGTTAAATACATATTCCTAGTAAGTGTGGCTTTTTCATGGTAGATTATAAAAGGAAAAACCCTTCCTGAAAAAGTTTTCACAAATAATATTTGTATGAATCTTCAAAAAAGTCAGACATTTCCAACTTTCAAATAGAACTGCATATAAGAAGACTAGGTGGACACTTGCTTAATAAGAGACGAGATTTATAAACCTTACAAGGAAAACAGACATTGCACAAGTACAGACCTAGAAGCATGGCTTATCATTTGCTTTTGAATTTATTCTAAACTTGCTTTTATTATTTATTCATTTAAAAGTCACGTTAAGGAACTTAACTAGGTCTGAAAAAATGTTTTTGAAACTTGCCCATCCAAAGTCTGGTGCTTTTATTTGCATTGTTAGGTTAATATAAAAACAATAATTAATAAGAAGCCTTTTTTTTGGTACATAATAGTGAGTTCTTCTAGATAACGCTTCGTCAGACCTGTGTTTGCACACATAAGGGTGTTGGCTTTAAAAGTTAATTTAAACTAAACAAATATTGAATCTCTTAAATCTAAGGACCTAAGAGCTAAATACTGTTCAAATGTCATTGATGAGTTTCGCCTAGTTAAACAGGATACGCCATACATTTATTTGACTTTAGCCATCTTTAGCTTAAACTGGATTAACTGTATATATTTTAACTTGGCTGTCTGCATTTAGATCCAGCTAAAACACTCAAATAAAAATATAAGCTCAGTTTAGTTTCTGTATTAGCAGATATGGATGCTTTCTTTAACAGATATACTGTAGAAGGAGGGTGGAAGGAATACTAAAGGTAAATGTCCATGTCAATGAGTGTGTTCTGT